TCCTACTATTCATGGGAGAACATTTACTGGTTCAGAAATCCCATTTCTAGAAGAAGTATTTGGAACTAGGTGATCTTAAAGGTCCCTTCCAACCCAGGCCATTCTATGATTCTTTGAAAAGAAATGCAAAACTGAATTTGCACTTTAAACACTTATAGCAGATTTCCATGGCTCATCAATGAATGACCAAATAAACTATGAATTTCAGTATATTTGACCAAGACTGTCAATAAACTAAGTTCAAGTTCCTAGAATGAGAGACTGGAATACTAATTTCTACATTAGCTGCTGTGCTGGAGTCCCCAGGAGAATAAATACGAATTGGACATCTGTTGAATATACATTACAGCAGTATGTATGGGCAATGCACACTAGAAAAGAGCAAGGGAAATCTTGTGAATTTGCAGAAAAGTATTTTTACAGCTGTTGCAGATCTTAAAATCAGCTAGAGGAAGATTCTGTGTTCTTCCAAACTAGGAAGATGAATGTTTAAAAACCCCATTATTTTTAGAAAAAGGTAATGGTGAGTTTCCGAATGACCTTGGGAACCACACACTTTTAACAGCTGAAGAGATGGAGTGCTGCTTCCCATGTTTCAGATTTATAAATGCTTTCACTCATGTGAGCACAAAGACAAACTGATGCTAAGTAGCCATTAGTTGTAGAGGTACGTGGTAATGGCAGGTGGGAGGAGCTTTATGCCATCCTTAAACACTTTGCAATTGCTGAGTTGCTGTCTATGCAGTATTCAGTGCATTTCTGAAGGGCAAAAAATATCTCTTCCACCCATTAAGTATGTTCCTGTTCCCTGTACACAAGATAACTGCTTCCTTTGTTAGAAAATTTCTCTTCTGACTGCCTTGGAAAAAAGAAAAACGAAAGTATTTGTATTACTTTTCCCTCTGAGTAATAAGTACCAAACCACAGGTGATAAATATGCTGAATGGCTGACTATTTCAGGTCAGTGGCATTACCATACAGAAAAAGGTGCTCATGCATAAGGACAGGCTCCAACCTGGGTCCCCAGATTGCTGTATTTCCCTTATCAGACAGGGGATCTAGCCACTGAAGAATTAATTTGGCAAAAATTTCATATCTTTTTTGCAGTACAAGACCCAGTGAAGGTCTATGGCAGCTTCAGCTTAACACAAGAATCTTAAATTGAAAATTAGTTACCAAAGCTATGAAACTTATGTTCCAGATGTAACACAGCAAAATCTGCTTCTGGCAAAGCTGAGGTAAATGCCCACACTCACAAGCACAGCTCAGATTTGGCCACCTCAAGAGGTTTTGGGTTCCTCCAGCTGCCCTGAATACATTGGATGCTTAGCTCTGCCCTTGCTCAGGTGAGGTGCAGATCTTCTGCACCAGGTTCCTTTGCCAGTAAGGAGTAGCTACAGTAAGACAAGAGAGGACATCTCTGCTGGAGCCAAGTCAAGTCTGCAGGGGCTGGAGATCAGCACCAAAAATGGGTGTGCACCCTAATCCAGTTATAAGAAATGCTGTGCTGCTGTCACAGTGCTGCTGCTTCACAAGGAAGCTGTCAGCTCTGCCAGCTTGGAGGCTCAAACTCCATTATCCCAAAATTGCACTTTGGTCCTTCCCTTATGCTCCTGGGAATGACTGCTAAAATTCAAAAGGAGACCTTGTGAGTAGTATGGATAGTGTCATGTTGTGGAAATGTCTTTCAGTAAATCACAGGTTTTGACTCATCTGAATTATGAATAATCACTCAGAGTATCTTTCAAAAGCAGTATTTATTTTTTTCATCAAGATAAGACACATTACATATTGCATAAAGTAAAAAGTACTGCTAGGAAAGCTGCATTTAACTGAGATAACAAAAAAATATACATAGATTGCACTTGAGAAAGTAGACTCTATCCCAGAAGAATATAGTAAATAAAAAGCTAACAAGTGCTTTGAAATTAGGACTCTTTCTGAATTGCCTTTGAAAATATATTTCTTTTGGAGGGTTCCAATTCCACCAATAAAACTGAACGAGATTAGGTTTCTTAATAGCTTTGATCTTTAAGTTAAAATAATATGTAAACATAATTATTACATGAACAAAAGAGGGGAAAAAAGTATGGAGAAACACCTCTGCAATTTCTGCTAATAAATAAAAAGGAAAAAATTTGCTGGTATTTGGTTTCACCAGAGTCACTGAAGCTTAGGGCTAGGGTCCTGGGGACTTTTTCTTAGTTCACATGTATGTTAGCACACCCACACTGCAAAACAAAGACCATCTTTGACCCTCCTGCAGTGGCCGGGAGCACGCTGTCTGTATGGCAGCTTGAAGCAGTGAATGGTTCCATTAATTACTAAGTGTCCCTGGAGTAATACTTTAAATTTTGCGACAAGTTTAGCCTATATCTAAGAAAGTAAACCCATCATTAGGCAAGAGGATTTTTTTACCTTTATCTGAATTTTTCTGCTGGACCCTGGCATCCACTACTGCCTTTATCTAATTCAGTCAGCTGAACTATCAACTGTTCAGTCTTTAAAAGGAATTTTCACACTATCTACCTCTGTGTATCACTTATGTCCAAATCAGATTTCTAATCTTTCTATACAGTCAAAAGAGAAAGAAAACTCCACACTGGGCTATTTCAACCTTGGGGTTAAGACAAATTATGGGAGAGCCTCTCCCAAATGCCTGTAGGGGTAACTCAGGCTCTCAGATGTCGCTGGATCCCCAGATTAGGAGGCATAAACACCCCTCACAACACGTGGCTGTTGGGGTGGTACTGAGTGAGCAGGCAGTGGTGTGTGGGACACGCCTGGTGCAGTGGGTGCCTGCTGCACAGCTTTCCCTGGGGGTGTGAATTAAGGACCACTCAGAGCACAAAGCCTTGTGAAACTGATGTTTCCTACAACCAATGCTAACTAGAAGTCAGGCATAATTTAGTCGGTGATATACATTGGAGTACAACTGTCTCAAAAACAATCCATACTGCCAAGGTCTTGCATGCAAATTTCTTCCAAACTTAGCTAAAAATTATGGAAGGGCTGGGTCAATCTCATTATTAAGCTAGAGACAGAAAAAGTATGAGATGTTCTTTAAATAGCCCTGAACTACAAAATAAAGCTAGTAATCTTTGGTTACAGGACTTTTCTTTAATGTGAATTGCTTTGAAAAGTGATGACTCACTTCCCAAGTAAGCATTCAGGAGCATTTTTAAATAGACATCTGGGAGCCAGAGAGGAAAAATTAATATAAATAACAAACCCCCAAACTTTCTGAATCTCAAAGGCTAAAGTACAGGAAAGAAAGTAACACAACATTTCTAAGGGATCTTTCAGCAAAGTTTTGCTAAAATTACAAAAAAATCACAAAATACTTGAGATGATGAAGAGGGTAAGTCAGAATATTAGAGCACTTTTGTAACAAACCTGTAGAGTGCTAAAACATACTGGTTTGAAAGCCTTATACTACTTTATATCACTTGCCAGTTTCCACTAATTATAATGCACTACTGTCAAACTACTTCACTCTTTCAGAGAGACAGAAAGACACGAGGCAACATGGATGATTCAATGCAGCCTATGTCTACTATTAAATATAAAACCTCAGCCATTAAATGTGTCACCCTATTCCCTCTGTTACATTCATGATCAAAACTCCAATTCTTCACCAGACTTAAATCTGCCTGTATTTTTGCATTTTTGGAGTAGCATTTAAAAATCCTTAAAGCTAGTTTGGAAGGATTTTTTTTCCTTTTTCAGTTAGAGCACTTTCATAATATTTTAAAAGCCATAGGAAGTTCTGCTGTAGCTTTTAAAGTGCTAATTTTATTATGAGGTGCTGTTTAATAATATTCTTCTGCAAATTAACAAATTATGCACATTTTCCATGACAGACAGACATTGCTTAATGAGTTAATGTGCTTCAGAAAAACGCAATCAAAAAGAAATTCACTGTCAACAGTTTACCCATGGCAATACACAGAGCTGGAATGCGACAACTAACCTCAGATAACTAAAATTAATCTGTATATGACAAAGTTATAATAATCCATATTTAAAACAAACAAACAAACAAGCAAACCCCAAACCAAATAATGATAATTAAATCTCAAACACAGTTTTGTTTCTCAGTAACACAACTGCAAAACAAATCAATATTTTCAACAAACAAGTGCCCTATCTTCATCTCCTCCATCTCCTCAAACCGCTGTGAAGAGGATACAAGAGGAGGGCTGTCTCCCTTTTTGTGTAGAGGGGACTCCTCCTGGGCAACTGTGGGCCACTCTGGGCGAGGAGCAGGAGTCCAGACCAGGCAGGTAGTGTCCAGAATCAGTCCCAGCCTACAGGGATTCACCTGGGGACCGTGTGGGAGCCCTCTCTTGCAGAAGCACCTGGGCAATGGCTTCCATGGAGTCACCAGGGGAAAAGCACCAGCCTCCACACCCCCCTACCACCATCAGTGTCCTGGATTATGCAAAGCTAATTTCAGCACATGATTTGCTCGAGTACAAACAGTGAGATTTGACTTTACTGCTGTGTTATTTCATGTAGTGATGGATTTTCTGCATTCTGTCTCACTCTGTTGGGCCAGAATGCTGGGAAGTTCCCTGTGAGAGTGGGGCAAATTTTGCACTCATACAGGCTCAAATTCTCTCTTCGTTTATACCCACAAAACCCTCCTGACTACCAGGAGAGCTGAGGAGGTAGAAATGGCAGCGGAATTTGAGTGTAGGAACTGGTGAGTGAGAAGCAAACACAAAGCTATTTCTACCTACAACTCCCTGAAAGGAGGCTGTAGCCAGGTGGGGGTTGGTCTCTTCTCCCAGGCAGCTATCAGCAGGACAAGAGGGCATGGTCTTAAGCTCTGCCAGGGGAGGTTTAGGTTAGATATTAAAAAGAAATTCTTTACAGAGAGGGTAATCAGGCATTAGAATGGGCCGCCCAGGGAAGTGGGGGGATTCTCTGTCCCTGGAGGTTTTTAAGATGAGACTGGATGTGGCACTTAGTGCCATGGTCTGGTAACCGTGGTGGTAGTGGATCAAGGGCTGGACTCAATGATCTCAGAGGTCCTTTCCAACCCAGCTGATTCTATGATTCTACGATTCATTGCCAGCTACAACAAATACCTATGCACCTGGTGTTTAATTTCAGTGTCCATTGTGTGCCTAAGGACTGCAACTGAGCTTTTAAAATCTCAACCCTCAGAATCTAGCTACAGATAACCATAATCTTATATTCTTGGATGCTGATATATAAACCTATGATATACCTGTTTAGTTGCCATGGCACTAATCAGCACAGCTATGCTGAAACAGAGAGATCATATTTGCTAATTGCAAAGGCAGGCTAGTAGCAAATTTCAAATGATTAGCGAGTAAAGGTCCTCACAGCAATCCTGCTTAAAAGTAAACATCCGGTAAAATGCAATTAGTGTGTCTTTTTTTTTGTTTGTTTGTTTCTTTCTTCCTTTCTCTTTCTTTATTTTTTTTTCTCTTTTTTTTTTTATCGGGGTGGTCTTGAACTGCAGATGCAATCACAACGCTCATGGTGATCCAGCTGTATATCAACTAAGGCCATGTTGTTCCTGATTCTGCTTTTTCTTCTGGTATGCCCAGCCTCGGGGATGAATTTCAGCACCTGGGAGGATCAACAGAAATGCATTGATTAGAAAACACTGTTGGAGATCTGAGGATGAGAGTGCTGGGGCCCTGAGGGCACCAACAGTCCTTAATGGCCCTGACCAGCATTAATTTGGATACATTTTTGTTTTACTTCCAGATTTTTCTTTGCACTCTTTGACATCTTGCTGTACTGTTTGTCCTGGAGCTTTGACAGACTGGATTATTTTCTACATCAGGTATCTTTATATCAAGCAGTCTCCTAACCATATCCAGAGTTGCTCCTTTGCATGTGAATTATCAAGCATATTTCCTTTGGCTCATCTTTGCAGTCCCATACATATTTGAGTTGCTCTGCCCCTTCTCTTCATCGTATAATATTTCTCCTCTAAAGAACAAGTAATTTTTTTTGTGCAATTTGAAATTTCTGAAGCACATATCATTAGAATTGGCTCAAAAATGAATTACTTGTGGAAGACAAAAGGAGATGAGGGAGCTTGCACAAAATATGTGCGAGATCTCATCGAGTTTCTGTGGAATCTGACTTCTACTGGCTTATATTAAAAATCTCTGCCTCAACCTAAATGATTTCTGAAGAATTTACTGTGAATAATCTTAAACAAACAAGTAAACAAAATTATTTCCTAGGTAAGTATACATCATACAAGAGGCTTCTGAAAAAAATCTAGATAGGCAAGATAGAGACCCCTAAGAAAGGGGGTTGTAGGTCACAAAAAAAAAAGAGAAAAATGAGAAAGAGGCACAAGTTGCAGCCAAAAAAATCCTATTTGAGTATAAGGGAGAAAATACTGAGTGTTTAAAACATTGGAGCAGGTTTTCTAGAGAGGCTGTAGAAACCTTGAAGACAGACAGAATTAACAGGATGAGACCCCGAGCAACCTCATCTAGCTTGTAAATTCTCCCTGCTTTTAATCGGCAATTGGGCTAGATGACCCTCAGAGATGCCTTCCAACCCGTATTGTGATATGAACCTATGATTCCCTGAAAATGATCTTGTGAATATATGCATAAGACCCATAATGTTGCATCCTATCTAATCTTCTGTGGTAGCGTATGTAAACCATGGACTGGAAAAGCTGAGGAGGATGGTGGTTTTGCAGGGGCATGCTTTGTGAGCCCACCACTGGAGGCTGAGTTGCTGTGTAAGATGTCGTACCCACACTAGCATGGGGACATAGGTTGAGGGGAGAAAATCTGTTTTGTTTCATTAGTTTGCTGTTCGTGGCCTACAGTAGTTTAACAAAAGATATATTAATTAATAATTTCAGTCCTGAAGCTCAAATACTAGTTTGGATTAGGCACAATGAATGAGTTAAGATTAAGAACACCCTAAATCTCCTACAGCATTTTTCTTCCCAAATCTCACAGCAAATTGCCCAGAGAGATATGCATAATTATCAAACTTGCATAGATGGAGAATCTGAAACTGATTTGCTCGAGGCTCTGCAACACATCAGTAGAAAAACTGCCAGTAGCATTACCAGATCCTTTCCATTTTGAAATCACTTATTTACTGATGGGGAGCAGGACATGGAGATAGCAAGGCTACAGCTCCATAGCTGGCGGTAAGCCGGTGGGTAGGTTCAGCTCAGTGTGGCCTCAAGACCTTCAGTCCAGAAACCACACACTGGTGAGGTACTAGAGCTAGCATGTCTCACCTCTTGGCAGGCTGATGTGACTCATGCTAGCTTGGCCAAGTGACTGCTAGATCAGCTAGATTTCTCTTTCTCGTTCAAAAGAGGGAGAGACATCTGTTAAGTGTATGACCTACCAAAGTCACTGGACAAATGGGAAGTGGGACCAAGACATCTTTAGCACCTCAACCTCTGAAGCATCCACACTTCTGCCTTAAATAACAGGTCCCCTAATTAGCAGATCATACTGTTACTCAACAATCCTTTTTTTTCTTTACAATGTACTTTCTGTACTTTGACATTGTAACACCATACAAGCATTGAGATGGTTTGGAAAGGACAGAGACTGCATACCAGATTAACAAAGTATTAGCATTTTCAACAGAATTAGAAAATCCCCAGAAGTAAGTGTGAATGACTTGCCAAAGGAGAACCATAGATGCTGTGCAGAGTAGTTGGGGAAGGGCAGACAGGTTAGTAACATTTGGGATGATACCATTCATTCTCTACCATTAATGTCTTGAGGCTAGAAAAGTCATGGGATATAACAAAAGTGATTAGTGCTGAACACAGTCTATTATTTTGTCCTCCCTTTTGTGATAAACTTTATATTTAGCCTATGTAATACTGAGACGAAGAACTGTGCCTAGGCAAGGTATAGACCTGCTGCTTTATTGTGTTGGGAAAATAGAATTACTTTTCCCTCTTAGAAACACAGAGACATGTTTTTGTTTTTTTTTGTTGTTTTTCTTTAAGCAACAAAAATATTGTATCTTTCAAATTATTTGAAACATTGACTCCATCGATACATGCAATAAATCCTGATGGACACCAGGACAATATGCTGTACCACAGTTACCCAAAACACAAAGGAATTGAACCCAATCAGGTTGCTGCAATTACTACAGAGATAAAAATAGACCACAGCTTCAAAGATGCTTTTTTAAAGAAAACGTATTTTTAAAATCAAGTACAAATGCTGACACTGAACCCATGAAAAAATTCCTTATTTAAAGAACCATTTCAGCAAAATCTGACAAATCCAGATGACTGGCACTTTGCAAGGTCATGGGTAGCTAGACCTGATTTTTCCAATTGAGAGCAAAGGAAAGTAGGTAATGGGATGAGAGCAAAGATGTGGACTGTATTTAAGTTAATAGACCATCTGACAGCTTGGGGACTTTCCCTGTGTTTTTTATTAAGAAGCATGAGCACAGTATATGGGCTTTGCTGATAAGAAAATGAACTGTCAAACACTTCACCAGATAGGAAAGCAGTGATTGAACACAGCTGAAATTATAGAATCATAGAATCATTTAGGCTGGGAGAGACCTCTGAGATCATCGGGTCCAACTGTTAACCCAGCACTGCCAAGTCAACCACTAAATTGTGTCCTCTAATGCCACATCCACATGTTTTTTAAACACATCCAGCGATGGTGACCACTTCCTGGGCATCCTGTTTCAATGTTTGACCACCCTTGCAGTGAAGAAATTTTCCCTCATATCCAGTCTAAATGTCCCCTGGTGAAACTTGAGACCATTTAGTCTTTTCCTGTCACTTGTTACCTGTGAGAAGAGACCAACCCCCACCTTGCTACAACCTCCTTTCAAGTAGTTGTAGAGAGTGATAAGGTCCCCCGTGAGACTCCTTTTCTCCAGGATGAACAACCTCAGCTCCCTCAGCTGCTCCTCATCAGGCCTGTGCTCCAGACCCTTCACCAGCATTACTGCCCTTCTCTGGACTTGCTCCAGCACCTCAATGTCTTTCTTGTAGTGGGGGCCCAAAACTGAACACAGGATACGAGGTGCAGCCTCACCAGTGCCAAGTACAGGGGGACAATCACTGCCCTGTTCCTGCTGGCCACACCATTGCTGATACAGTCCATGGTGCCATTGGCCTTCTTGGCCACATGGGCAATGTTGGCTCACGTTCAGCAGCTGTTGACCAGCACCCCCAGCTCTTTTCCCTCTGGGCAGCTTTCCAGACACTCTGCCCCCAGCCTGTAGCACTGCCTGAGGTTGGTGTGACCCAAGTGCAGGACCCGGCATTTGGCCTTGTTGAACCTCATACAGTTGGCCTTAGCCCATCAATGCAGCCTGTCCAGATCCCTCCGTAGAACTGCTTTAACAGCTGATCACAGAACTGATATTCAAAACTCTCTGTCTCATATCTACCTAATAGTTTTATTTTCAGCTAAATATAAGAGAATTGAAAATTCCCTGGAAGGAAAGGCCATTTCTGGTGACCACAGTAGGTGAAAGAAAACTCTTTATTCTGAAAATAGCTGCTGTTTATTCATCACATGGTCAGGTCCTTAAAGGTGAGGAGCTACTGAATTAATGGAAACGGTTCAAAGAAATCCTGCTCAGGAAACTTTATTGCTCCTTTTTAGATGGGATCAGTAGCTGTAAGAAAATATAGATATGACAAGGTCTGGAATGCTCAAAAGGTTTTTTTTTTGTGTGGGTGGAAAAGAAGAACAACCTTGCAGTTTTCAAATTAAAGAATCAATGTCTGTCACTACTCATCAAACTGTGGTGCCTCAGCTCTTCAGATTGCCTCACAAAGAGCATATAACTACAGCCATATCCCTCTCATCAAACACTGAATAAATTATGATCATAAAACTATTAAAACAGATAAAATTAAGACAGATTATTTAGCTTCTGAGGTGGATTTGTTGTTTATAGGTAATATAAAAAAAGGGGAACAAGACAGGTTTTTTGCAGAAATCCCCATAAGAGCACACCAATATGCTGGATGGCATTTTACTTTGTAGATATGCCTGAGCATCTGAGAAGTTTCAAGGTGAGATGACTGTAGCCACTGCATAACTTCCCTTCGGAGTGGTGCTGTAGGAAATATAAAGAAAATGCTTACAAAAATTTCCTTGCCAGCAATCTTGTTCATTGATCATGTATTGAATTTGGATGCCAGCTTTTGAAAGCCTCTTTAAATGGGAGAGCAAAGTCATCACAAAACCCAGGATCTGGAAGCTGAAGCCAGAAGACATTGAAGTGGAATTAGTACACATTTGTTTAAGTCAGGCCAACTCATCACCTCGACAGCTCTCCAAGGAACTCTGGGGTTTCCAGGCTGTTTGAGGGTTGCCTTTCCAGGAGGTGTACAGTACCAACTTGGGTCATGCTCTGGGGGCAGCAGGGTGCTCTCCAGTGTCCTGTGGAACACAGGAGGTCAGGGTTGACGGCCCCTATCATCTCAGCAGATCTGTAAGAACACTTCAAGATCAGGGGCTGAGGAGAGCAGAGTGGTGATGACTGCCAGGAAAAGGACCCAGCTGGAGATAACCGGAGAATGAGTCACCCGAAACACCCACATCTGGTGAGTCTATCTTTGGTAA